GTGCCTGGTGCCACCAGAGCTGTCCCCGTGCTGTCCCCTCGTGCCAGGGGACACCAGAATAAATCTGGGTGGGAATTCTGCCTGTGCCCTGTACAGTTAATTGGGGTTTTGGGTGTAAATTCTGCCTGTGCCCTGCAGCTGGAGGGGTTTTAACTGATCCCAGCACAATTAATTTGGATTTTGGGTGTAAATTCTGCCTGTGCCCTGCAGCTGGGGGGGGTTTAACCACAATTAATTGGGGTTTTGGGTGTAAATTCTGCCTGTGCCCTGCAGCTGGAGGGGTTTTAACTGATCCCAGCACAATTAATTGGGATTTTTTTATAGTGATCAGCCCCTAAACTCTTGGAGAAGTGGCCGAGGGTGGTGCTGAACAGTGCCTGGCACCTGCTTTGGGATCATCAGGGTGTTTGTTGCTGGAGGGATCAGGAAGGTGGTAAGGCAGGAAAACCAGAAAAAACTGCAGCACCTGATCTGTCAGCCTGTGTAGAGGTGGATGTTCAGAGGGAGCAGGAGACCTCTCCATCATCCTCTCCATCATCCTCTCCATCATCCTCTCCATCATCCTCTCCATCATCCTCTCCATCCTCTCATCTCCATCATCTCCACCTCCATTTTTAGCTGTAAATCCTTTGGGTTTGGGATAGAATGGGATGCTCTCCCACTGCTTTGGCTCCAGTTTGGAGCTGCTGTGCCCCATTTTTTGCTCATCCAGGCATTTTTTTGGTGCTGGTTATGGCATCCAGGCCTATTCCTGGATCTGATGGCCAGGAGCATCCCCAGAGCTGCCCTCAGCCTGTGGCAATGTGAGCAAGCTTGACCCTGGAACAGGACTGGGAAACTGGGAAAAGGCTCTCCCCGGGGGCTCTGTTTGCATCTGGCTTGCTGTAAACAATTTCACAGAGTTCTGAGCATGGCCAAATAGACAGGAGGTGCTGTGCATCCACAGAAATGCCTGAATAACCTGTGCAAGAGGCAGGAAAATGGGCTGCAAATGATCCAGGGTACAGGTTCTGCAGGGAAAAACCTGACCAGGTACAACAGCTGAGAGTCAATATTGCCTTGGGCTAATTAAACCTACAGTTCTCAGTGTGCTCCTGGTCCCTGCGCCTCGCTGGTGGCTGTGCTGTGATAATATTTGTGTAAATGACAGCAGGGCTGGGTGACAGCAAAGCTGGGCTTTGGATGATGAATATCCCTGGGAATTTTGCAGCAGAGAGGTCTGAGCTTCATCCTTCATCCTTCATCCTTCATCCCTCCCTGGGGCTGTTGGGCAGGTGAGGGTTTGATTTCCCTTTCCAGGGGGGCTGTTTGTGCTGTTGTGGAATACTTGGTGATATTCCTCTTGAGTTTACCTACAGCTAAATGATTAGTTGCTGTTTTAATTTCCTTTCTAATAAAAGAAGAGCAAACATCTCATTTCTCTAGGCTGGCATGAGGATCCAGAGTGGGCAGCTTCATCTGTTGGGATTGTTCTGGCTGCAGTCTGAGAGAATTAGCATTAAAATGCATAAAAACAGCACATTCAGAGGCTGTTCAAGGCTGCTGTGTGCAGGGAGCCAAGGGTGTCACAAATCCCATGGCAGATCCCAGCTGGCTCTGGGAGACTCCTTTGGGGTCTGCAGGCAGCAGCACAGCAGATCTGTCAGGAGTTTTGGGCATCTCTGGCCCTGAGCTGCCCTAGAGATGCCAGCTGTGCCTGTTTGGGCAAATTTAGGATGGTTTTGTTGGAAATCTTTCTTGGTAGGTAGAGAAAGTTGGGATCCATTCCCTGAAGTGTTGATTCTGTTGCCTGGCCAGGTTGGATGGGGCTTGGAGCATCCTGGATTAGTGGAAGCTGTCCCTGCACTGCAGGGATGAACTTTAGGTTCTTTCCCACCCAAACCATTCCAGGATTCCAAGCTATCCCTTGTTTTTTGTTACAAGGCCATGTCTGTCTGTCTGTCTGTGCTGGTGTTTGAGTTTGTCACACACCAGGTGAGTGCCCTTGTTGCTCTTTCCACTTCCAGTCCTTTAGACTTAGTTTATTTTTAGTGTTCCAACCTCAGTGATATTTTTTTTTTTTACCTTTAATGAGTAATTTTCCACTAAACTGTGTCTCTTGGAAGGTGTTTTGTTTGTGCCTCGAGCGTGCAGGTGGTCTGTGCAGTGTTGGCACTGAAATGCCCACTCAGAGCCGTGTCCTGCTGTCCTGGATGGTCCCCAGGCCCTGGACAGACAGATGGTCACTGCCCTGCAGGCATTGTGTCAATGCACTGAAATTTCAAAAAATATTTGAATATACTCCTTGTATTCCAATATATCCTGATTGAATCAGAAGCTGGTAAAGACAAAACTCTGCAAATTGATTTTCAGGTGTATTTTGTGGAGGTGTGGGGGTAAAATCCTGACATCACCAGTGCTGCCATGAGTGTACATTTAATATCTGTGTGAGATATTAACTCACACAGAGCAAGCTCAGCCTGCCTGGGTGAGGGTCAGGAGCCATCTGGACAAGGGAGGCTCAGCCAAATTTCAGGGAATCCCTGAGGGCCCCTGTGGTGTTTGCAGGGGTCTGAGAATGAGGGAAGAGATGAGAATCTGACTCCATGTTTCAGAAGGCTGGTTTATTATTTTATGATATATATTATATTAAAATGATATATTAAAACTATATTAAAAGAATAGAAGAAAGGATTTCATCAGAAGGCTAGCAAGGAGTAGAAGAGGAAAGGAATGATAATAAAATCTTGTGACTCTCAGAGTTTGAAACAGCCGGACTGTGATTGGCCATTAATTATAAACAAGATGATTTGATTGGTCTCTCTCACATGAGACCAATCAAAGATGCACCTGAGCAGGATGCCAGGATATCTCTGGTGGGAATTCCAGATGGAGAAAAAGGGGCAGCACATGGTGGGCACATGGAGATTTGTGTGCTGTTCCCCATCCCTGCTCCATCCTGCAGCCAAGCCAGGGGATGTGTGGGGAGGCAGAGGCTCCTCTCCTCTCGCTGGGGCTGCCTCTCTCCCTGTTTTTGTTACTGAAATGTAAAATTAAATGGTGCTGGAGCAAGGAACCCTCAATGAGGATGCAGCTGCCCCTGCGCTGGTGCCCAGGTGGGACTCTGGGGCAAGGGGGAAATTGGAGATGGGAGATGAGGAATGAAGGAGAACCAGGAGAAAACTGAAGGTGGGAGATGAGGAATGGAGGAGCACAAAGAGAAAACTGCAGAGGGAGATGAGGAATGGAGGAGCAGAAGAAGACTGAAGGTGAGAGGTGAGGAGTGAAGGAGAACCAGGAGAAAACTGAAGGTGGGAGATGAGGAATGAAGGAGAACCAGGAGAAAACTGAAGATGGGAGATGACGAATGGAGGAGCACAAGGAGAAAACTGCAGAGGGAGATGAGGAATGGAGGAGCACAAGGAGAAAACTGCAGAGGGAGATGAGGAATGGAGGAGCACAAGGAAGAAGACTGAAGTGAGAGGTGAGGACTGAAGGAGAACCAGGAGAAACCTGAAGATGGGAGATAAGGAATGAAGGAGCACAAGGAGAAAACTGGAGATGGGAGGTGAGGAATGAAGGAGCATCAGGAGAAAACTGCAGAGGGAGATGAAGAATGAAGGAGCACCAGGAGAAAAATGAAGATAGGAGATGAAGAATGAAGGAACAGGAGAAAATTGAAAATGGGAGGTGAGGAATGAAGGAGCACCAGGAGGAGCCCTGACCAGGGGCAGCTGCAGTTTTAGGACACAGTAGAGCACTGAGGTGGAGGATGGAGCTTTATCCTGGTTCCTGGGGTGTTCCTGCAGGTGGAATCACTGCTGTGAGCACAGGGCTGGGATGTGGAGGTGTGGAAGGTGCAGGAGCTGGACCATGAGGAATTTCCCAGTGCTCTGAGGCACCTCCAGTCCCCAGTTCCACATCTCAGTGACATTCCCTGCTGTGGCTTCCTGACTCAGTACCAGCTCATCTGGCATCCAGGGAAGCCTCAGAGCTCCCTGTTAGTCACTGAGCAGGGAGCAGGGCTGGGATCTCACCTGGTGGCTCTGACAGAGCAGCTCTTGGCTCACACAGAGCTCTGCTCTTAATCCATGCTCAGGATTTCCTTTATGGAGCTGTCAGCCGTGCATAACTGCCCTTGATTATACCTTGCAGGGGAGTTTAATTCCCCAAATGATGCCATTAAAGGCCTCTCATTGCTGCCAAGGTTTGCTTGGCCAAGCCTTGACCTGCTGTGTTTCCCTGTGCCCTCAGGGAGAGCGCCTTGCTCGGCAGAGCTCCCTTCACACCCTCAGCTCTGTGCTGGCAACACTTCCCCCTGTGTTTTCCAAAACCAAGATGTTGCAGAGGCACTGGGAGATGAGATTCAGGCGTGCTGGCAGCTGTGTTTGAAGGGAAAAGTGGCTGGGAAGTGAATGTTTAAGGAGCAGAGACTCAGCTGGGCTTTGGCTGCCTGCAGCAGGGTTAGGGAGGTGACAGCTGGGGATGGAAGTCACCACCCTGCTGCCAGACCTTTCCTGCTGGGTCTGACCTCCTGTCTGCTCCCTGCAGCAATTTCGTGTGGGGTCCTGTTTGTTTTTGTCCCCTGATGGTGGCCCTGGTGAGCACTAAGGGACAGCTTGCCCTGGGTCAGCTGAGTGCCAGCTGTGAGGCAGGGAGGGCACAGCTGCTGGCCCTGCCCTGCAAATGGGGTTCCTGGGCACAGCTGGTGCCAGGTGATCACTGAGTTAGGCATTGATGGAGGGCTGCAGTCATTTGGGACAGCTGTGTCGCAGGGAATTTGTCAAGCAGAATGAGAGAACAGAACAATGCTGTAAAAACCTTAAATACGAGATTTGGGTACCTTTATTAGGTGATTTTTAGTTAAGTGATGCTCAGTTCCCTCAGTTAATCCTGAGCTCGTCGTTTTCCTACAATGATTTCTGTGAATTTTCTCAGAAATGAAAAACCCCTTTTTTTATACCTTTTTGAAGTAGTGTGATGCTCAGCAGGCCGAGCTGCATCAATCCTCTGTGAGCTCTCCTGTGCCCTTGGGATAACCTGGGAGCAGAGGAGGCTCCTGTGCACCCACCCCACTGCAGGCTGAAATTCCATGTTTTCCCTGACTGCCTCTGTCCTGCAGGTGAAGCAGATCATGGAGGAGGCTGTGACGAGGAAGTTTGTGCATGAGGACAGCAGCCACATCATCTCCTTCTGTGGTGAGTCTCCTGTGCTGGTCTGCACTGGGGTTTTCGTGCTGTGCCACTCCTGGGAACCCACCCCAGCTCCAGGACCTTGGGCTGGGGGAATGGGAATGCCAGAGGATGGATTGTCCTGGCAGAGGTCACAATCCCTGAGGTCTTTGTGCTCAAAATATACAGGGATGTGTCAAAAGAGGGAGGGAGGGAGGCTGGACTAGGAACAATATTTTATTTTAAAATTCCCTTGAGAGTTGATCCAGCTGAAAGCCTGTCAAGTCCAAATCTTTTCTTTGCTGTTATGGAACAGGAGTTTATGGAAAGGTGTGACAGTGTTCACAGGAGTCTTAGGATGAGGGAAGACATGAGGATCTGACTCCACGTTTCAGAAGGCTTGATTTATTATTTTATTATATATATGACTTTAAAACTATACTAAAAGAATAGAAGAAAGGATTTCCTCAGAAGGCTGGCTAAGAATAGAATAAGAAGGAATGATAACAAAGGTTTGTGGCTTGGTCTCTCTATCTGAGCCAGCTCACTGTGACTGGCCATTAATTAGAAACAACCAACATGAATAATCACAGATCCACCTGTTGCATTCCACAGCAGCAGATAATCAATGTTTACATTCTGTTCCTGAGGCCTCTCAGCTTCTCAGGAGGAAAAATGCTAAGGAAAGGATTTTTCATAAAAGATGTCTGTGACAGAAAGGAGGCTGGGCTTCCTGCTTTCCTGCTGGGCCCTCACACCAAAGGCACCCAGGATCAGGTTCCCAGCCCCTGTGTGGCTTTGAAAGATCAGAGCAGACCTCCAGGTGTGACTCATTCCCTGCTTTTCTGTGCAGCACGAGGCTCCTCAAGCTGCCATTATTTATAGACAGGGAGCTGAGGCATCCAGGCATCAAGGGCTCCTTGCTCCCTTCTGCCCTCCTAAGATGCTGCTGCATTTCCCTGCTTTCCCTGGTGTCCCCCTCCTGCTGCAATGGAGCATCTCCATCCTCCACCTTCCCCAGTGCTGTGGCTCTCCAGGAGCTGGGTGAGCTTATAAATAACCTGTCTCCCTGCCAAGCAGAGCGTGCTGCACGCCTGGAGCTGCCCTTTTCCCTGGAGAGAGCTGCCTTGCCTTCCCTTCCCTTTGCAGCAGAGCCCTCAGTGCAGCACAAAGCCCAGGGATGGAGCCAGGGAAGGGCAGCAGCCCCCGTGGTGCTGGCAGGGGAGGGTTTGGAGCACACAAACAGGAGCTGGCATCTGTCACACCCAGGCTGCCCTGGGAGGCTGATGGGGAGCCCAGGGTTTGGTGCCCACGTCAGCCAGGGCTGCTCAGCCCCAGGGGTTGGGATTGTGTCACAGCTCTGGGCAGCTCAGGAATATTTTCAGTCAGAGCTGCCCCTTAGCTGGGTGTAGCTGATGCACCACAGTTTATATCCTGGAAGTTATATCCTGAGGGATGAAGAGAATCTCTTTGAGTGGTGGCAAAACTGAGCTCCAAAGCTCATCCTATTGAAAAATCCTGCCATCACCCCTGGATTTAGTAGAGCACGGGGAGGGTTTTTCCTGTGGAAGCTGCACATTTCCCTGCAGTTTGCCAGCAGGAGAGGTGTTTTGCATGGGTTCAGATCTGGCTCTGGGAGCAGATGCTGCTGACAGCTTTGTCTTGGTGCTCTGTGCCAGAGCAGGAGCTGGGATTTCTCCCTGGCAGGAGCTGGGATGTGCTGCCTGTGACCTGAGCACAGTGCTCCCATTTGTCTGCTGGGAGTTTGAAATGGAACTGGTGGCACCAGGAGCTCCCTTTTTGGGGTGCAGCAGGAGCAGCCCTGGCTACTCCCCCTCCATGGGTACCTGGGCTTTCAGCACCAACCTGAGCTGGGCACTCAAATGGGCATCTCTAGGTGCAGTCCCAGGCAGGTGGGGCTGTTTGTCATTTGTATTTCAGCCATGGAGCATAGGACACCTGAGGGAGGTGTTGGCTTTTCTGGCAAATCCATGGAGCATTTTGAGATTTATTTTATTTGTGGCCGCACATAATCCTGGGGCAGCTGAAGCCCTCTGGGCTTTGGGAGGGATTGTGCAGGGCCTGGTTTCAAAGCCAGATGTCCATGCAGTGGTTGCTGGGGGTCAGCAGGGCTGGGCTGGCCCAAATCTGTTGTTCTGCCAGCACAGGCTGTCTCATCCCCCCTCGGATGCTGCTGCTGGGCACTGAGCTCAGGCATGGATCAGGGCAGGATAATGAGCCTCTCCCAGCCTGGGAGCTGCTGAGATGGGCTGCAGGAATGCCTTTTTCCAGGTCTCCATGGAGTTGTTGAGCTGCAGGGAATTGTGCCTCTCCAGGCAGGAGGGGAAGCAGCATCCAGGCTCAGCTCAGCAGCGCTGGCTTCCCGGGGAGGAGGGAGCAGAACTTGTCCTTGTCACACCCGGATCAAGGGCCTGAGGATGTGGGTCTGTGTGATTTTCCAGGGCTTTGATCTGCCTGTTTAATCAGCCTGTGTTTGGCACCAGACATCCATCCTGAGCCCTCCCAGGGGGTTTGGGAATGAGCTGCTGGCTGAGCCTGTGCTGTGTGAGCCTTTCTGTGGAGTCATGGCTCATTCCTGGGATTCTGGCAGGGCAGGGAAGGAGTCTGGGGCTGTCAGGGCACTCACTGGGGTTTGGTGAGTGCCTCTGAGCACAGTTCAGGACATGGAGAACGGCACAGCCTTCCACAGGGGCTTAATGAGTCCCCATGTCCCCCAAAGCCAGGCTGAGCTGCTGGTGCTGCCTGTGGTTTATCCCCTGGGTCTTTGTTCCTTTCAGCTTTTCAGAAAAATGTTTGTATGAACATTGAGATTTTTGTGGGGAGAGTTGCCCCATTTCTTATGCTGCTTTAGAAACCTTCAGGATGCCTGTCCTTGCTCCTGAGCTTTCTCCTCCTGGCTTGCACCATCCCAGCACAGGGAGTGAAAATTCCTGTTCCAGCTGTGCCCATCCCTCAGACTGGGCTGAAGGGAAAACATCAGGGAGATGCTAGTTTCTCCACAATCCACAAGAAACCACAAAAAAACCCACAAAAAGGAGAGTGTCAGCCTGTTTGCCCAGCACAGCAATTGCCCTGTCTGGAGGAGCTGTGGTGCTTGTTGTTCATTCCCATGTGGGATGGGATTACAATTTCCTGAAGGCAAGGTGGGGATGTCTCTGCCTTCAGATTTACTGTCTGAGGAGTTTTAGGAGCTTCCATCCATGGAAGTGTTCAAGGACAGGTTGGATGGGGCTTAGAGCAACCTGGTCTAGTAGGAGCACTCCTGATGAACAGTCCCTTTATGGATTCCTTGTAATCTCCCCAGACCCTGGCTATGCTGTGAGGTCTCCGCACAATCTTCTCTTCCCCAGGCTGAACAGCCCCACCTCTCTCAGCCTGACTCCGTAGGGAAGGTGCTCCAGTGATCCCCAGGTTGGATGAGTTGGGTAGAGCATGGTGATACCAAAGTCAAGATTGAATGGTGCTATAACTCTGTGTGTTCCATTGATGGGCCAATCCCTCAAAGAGCTGGACTGGATGATCCCTATGGCTCCTTCCAAGTGGGAATAATCTGATCCTGAGGCCTGTGCTCTCTCAGCCTGACTCCACAGAGAAGGTGCTCCAGAGACCCCAAGGCTGGCTCAGTTGGGTAGAGCATGGCACTACGAAAGCCAAGATTGCTTGGTGCTATAACTGTGTGCTCCACAACCCCTCAAAGAGCTGGACTGGGTGATCCCTGTGGGTCCTTCCAGCTGGGAATAATCTGATTCTGAGGCCTGTGCTCTCAGCCTGACTCCACAGGGAAGGTGCTCCAGAGACCCCAAGGCTGGCTCAGTTGGGTAGAGCATGGCACTACGAAAGCCAAGATTGCTTGGTGCTATAACTGTGTGCTCCACAACCCCTCAAAGAGCTGGACTGGGTGATCCCTGTGGGTCCTTCCAGCTGGGAATAATCTGATTCTGAGGCCTGTGCTCTCTCAGCCTGACTCCACAGGGAAGGTGCTCCAGTGACCCTGAGGTTGGCTGAGTTGGGTAGAGCATGGCACTACTAAAGCCAAGATTGCCATAACTCCATGTTCCATTGATGGGCCAATCCCTCAAAGAGCTGGATTGGGTGACCCCTGTGGCTCCTTCCAGCTGGGAATACCCTGATCCTGAGGCCCTGTGCTCTCTGCAGCCGCCGTGGAATGCTGTGTGCTGTTCGGGCTGAAGCGGAGGGCGGCCGGCTTCCTGCGCAGCAACAAGATCGCAGCGCTCTTCATGAAGGTGGGCAAGAGCTTCCCCCTGGCAGAGGAGCTCTGCAGGAAGGTGCAGGACCTGGAGCAGCTCATTGAGAACGCGTAAGGCACCAGCGTGGCTGCCAGTCCTCCCTGCTCACTTGGGTTTTGGGGTGGGAAGTGTGGTTTGGGTCCAGCTTGAGCCTTGACAGGAGGAATTGCTCCTTCAGTCTTCTCTTCTGGGTTTTTTATATCTTGACCAAACTGGTTGGTGTTTTAGGAGACTGGGTTGTGGTTTAAGCAGGGATGGACAAGTTTTAAGTCTCTTTGCCTCTGCTCTGGTGCTTCAGGGAGAGCTGAGCATGCTGCTCCTGAGCTGTCAGAGTTCATGGACCAGTTCACCAAGCTGTCAGAGTTTATGGACCAGTTCACCAAACTGGAACCACGTTTGGCCTTTCTCAGTGTGCAGGGACTCTCAGTGTGCAGGGACTACTGCAGTAATTCAGCTGCTGTTTGGGAGAGGATTACTCATCCTTGGACAATTAGCAGGGAGATGGATGGAGCAGTTACCTGCGGGCAGGAATTTTAAGCTGTCCTAAGATGAGCTGCTCTGCCTGTGAGCTCAGCCGTGGAAATGTGTGTGGGCTGTGCTGAGGGAGAGCAGAGTTCTGGGCTTGCCTTGACAGTGGGGAACTGATTTGGTGATGTGGTTTCAAATGCAGGTGTGGCCCCTCTGGAGCAGGGGATGGGATTGGGGCAGGAAACACCTCCAGATCTCTGTCCCAGGCAATTCCCTGGGATCCCCCAGTCAACACCCCCAAACCCCTGATGGCAGGGGTGCCCTGGGCTCCCTCAGAGTTCAGGGGTGAGCCTATGGTGTTGTTGTCTCTTGTCTTGTACCTCTAAAGGAGAAACCAGGCCCAGGGGGTCCCGGAGAACGTGCGCAAGGTGCCCAAGCTGCCCAACCTGTCTCCTCAGGCCATCCGGCACCTCTGGATCCGCACAGCCCTCTTCGAAAAGGTCCTGGATAAAATCGTGCACTACCTGGTGGAGAACAGCAGGTGAGCACTGGCACAGCCCACCCCTGTCCTGCCCATGGCACTGGGGGTGAGGAACACCTGTATCCACATGGGACAGGGAAATCCCTGCATGGCACAGGCCAGGTGTGTCACTCAGTGGGACTCTGATGGATGCCCTGCTGCTGATAACCCCTGTGCACTCCCTAAAATACAGACAGGATTGTCTGTATGAATGAATGAATTGTTGTCAGGGCTGCATTGTCCTTGTCTTCTGGGATCTGCATGCTCAGGGACAGGTTAGTTAGGAGATGGTGATGCTTGCAATGTGCTGCAGGCTGCAGGAGGATTGCTGCTCCCCAGCAATTTCTCAGCCTGTTTAGGGCTTCTTGCCCTCTCCCCATCAAGGAGTGATACAGAAAGAGAAGGACATGATGGGGATTTAAAGCACTGTCTATAACTTTGCAGCCCTCTCCCCATCAAGGGGTGATACAGAAAGAGAAGGACATGATGAGGATTTAAACCACTGTCTATAACTTTGCAGCCCTCTCCCCATCAAGGGGTGATACAGAAAGAGAAGGACATGATGAGGATTTAAAGCACTCGTTTATAACTTTGCAGTGCTCCAGCATTCTGCTGTCCTTTATTTCTTCTAGTAAGTACTATGAGAAGGAAGCTCTCCTGATGGATCCTGTGGATGGGCCAATTCTGGCATCTTTATTGGGTAACACTTTACTTGCTTTCCCTCCTTGCTTTCCAAAGGCTTGCTCCCAAATCTGCGATCTGCAGATGCGGGAGGTGACCATGGGATCAAGGATGGCTCCCTTATGTTTGGGGTGTTCCTCTCCACAGTGGGGCCCTGTGCACTGGAATACACCAAGATGAAGACTGCTGACCACTTCTGGACAGATCCTTCTGCAGATGAGCTGGTCCAGAGGCACAGGATCCACAGCTCCCATTGCCGCCAGGATTCACCCACCAAGCGCCCGGCGCTCTGTGTGAGTGGGGGAAAAACCTCTCTGCTCCTCACACATCCACACGTCTGGGCTCCCTTTGCTTGGAAAGGCCTGTGGAGCCGAAGTCTTTGAGGCAGAGGTGCTGGGGATGTGGCCCATGGAGAGCAGTGGCATGCCAGCCTCTCCTGGCACTGCATGCCAGGGTCTGTGTCCCTGGGATCATCGTGTATGAACAGAAAGCTGAATCTGCTCTGTGCATTGCAAACAAAATTCACTCCTGGGATTTCTCTGAGCTTGGACAGAGTCAGAAATTCCCCTGGAGGACCTTGGGGGAAAGATTTCTAGTAGTGACTCTCAGAAGTGAGGAGGGAATGAGGTAGAAGAGAAGCTTTTGGGAAGCCAGAGGGTGTCTGTGCTCACCTCACATTTGTGAGCGTGTCTCTTGCAGATTCAGAAAAGGCATTCCAGTGGCAGCATGGATGACAGGCCATCCCTGTCTGCCAGGGACTACGTGGAGTCCCTGCACCAGAACTCCCGAGCCACGCTCCTGTACGGCAAGAACAACGTCCTGGTGCAGCCGGTGAGTCCTGCTGGGCTTGGGAACACTGCTCTGCCCATCAGCACCTTGTTCTCTCCCAAACTGCTCTTGGATGCAGAAAAGCACATTTTCCATCTGGGAAGGCAGTGAGTGGGCTGTGTTTGTGGAGGTTTTGGTGGTGGAAGAGCTCTGCTCCAGCCTGGGTGGAAATACAGGCTCCTCTCCCTGCCTGTTCTTTGCCACAAAACTTCTCCTGTCCCCTCCTGCTGCTTGTAGTCAAATAAATGAAGTGCAAACTGCTTTTAGGTGGAGCTGTTAGGTTTTCTTTGCTGGGCAGTTGCTCTCAGCCCTTTATCATGTCCTTGAGGTGTCCTGGAGTCTGTGCTAGGAGGTTTTCCAGGGACACAGTGGGTTCCTCCCTGTTTGTGACTGGGTGGGCAGGGCTGTGTGAGAGGCCACAGCTGGGCTCCAGGGCTTTGTGCTCAGTGTGTCCCTGTGTTTCTCCTCCCAGAGAGATGACATGGAGGCAATCCCAGGGTACCTGTCCCTTCACCAGACTGCTGACATCATGGCACTCAAGTGGACCCCCAACCAGCTGATGAACGGCTCCGTTGGGGACCTGGACTATGAGAAGAGGTGAATGGGGTGGAGGGAAGTGTTCCCCTGGGTCAGAGTTTGCATCTGGGATGCAAAACCCATCACTGTTTTCCCAGAGCAGCACCATCACCCTTGAGCCTGTTAATGGAAGGAGGCAGGGAGAGGGTGGCAGGAGGTGGAGTGAGGTGTGTCTGTGCTGGGAAGTGCTCAGAGAGGGAATGGGGTTTGTCCCAAAACACACAAAGTGGTTTTGTTTGTTGCCCTGGGAGATTTTTTTGAGGGGAATGCTCTCCCTCCCTCCTGGCACATTGTGCTGCCAGGTTTCTCCTGGCTCCAGGAAAGTGGGAGTGTTTAGGACACTGATACTTTCACCTAGAGATCTTCTTCAGCAGAACTTTGTCTCCATTTCATTCATTGTCAGTTGTAGTTTTTTTTGTTTACCTGTGTACTTTTCATCTCCCCTTTCTTCTTGGCCCCTGGGCCGTTCAGTTGTGCCTGGTACCCTCCCCTAAAATCTGTTTTCATCTCTACACTCCTTCTCTGAGTTCTTGCCTTGGGCATCAGCCTAAGCTCTAAAAATTTCCAGTGTCAAGACGTGACCAAGGAGGAGAGGAGGCAGATGGCACAGTGAGTATGACTGTACAGGGAGTCACTCCTGCACACCTTCCTGTCCTTCACGAGCTGTTTTTAATGCTATTTAAGCACTATTTTTACAAAGTGGCAGATGCTGCTGCTGCTCAGAATCTGGAAATTTGCTTTGTTGCAAAGCAGTGGGATGTGATTGAGTGCTGACACCCTTGGACAGCAGTGCTGGGCTCTCCACAGGAATGAAACCCTGCCTCTCTGCTCTCTCTGGTGGCCACCAGCTCTCCAGCATGTTCTAGATCTGCTCAGACACCTCGAGGTGCCTGTGCTGAGGCAGTTCTGGAGCAGAAGCTGCTGAGACCAAACCTGTTGTGAGCTCTGAAAAACCCCGCAAATTGTGAGGGTTTATTTCCCCTCCGTGGGGCAGAGCAGCAGCCCAGGCTTGGACCTCACTGCACATTTCCCTGGGGCTCCAGGGATGCTCCTGAGGGATTCACTCAGGGGAGAGTGCTCAGCTCTGCAGGGCTCCAGTCCCTCCCTGCAGTTGCCAGGATCCATGGGCACATTTCCTGTGTCTGGGAACAGTGTGAGGGCAGAGAAACCACCCAGGGCAGGTAGGACAGGACTGAGCTGAGGTGGCAGGGACAGTTCTGGCTCTGGAGGCACGTTGTCACTCATCAGGCTGGCATCACTGCTCTGGGATCCCATCATTTCTGTGGCTTTGGCTGCTGCCAGGGGGTGAGGAGCAGGGTTTGGAGCTGCTGTGAGCAGCAGCAGAGCCTCTCACACCCTGGAGGCTCACGGCTTCCCTGTCCCTCTGTTGCAGCGTGTACTGGGACTATGCCATGACCATTCGCCTGGAGGAGATCGTGTACCTGCATTGCCACCAGCAGGGTAAGGCCACACCTGGGGCTGCTGGGGGCTCTGGCACCTGGACTTGATCCCTTACCCCTGGGACATGGTTCTGCTGAGGCTCCAAGAGTTCTGGGTGATCACTGTGGTTTAAGTGCTTCTAGAAGAGTCTTTCGCCAGCTCCTGGCTGTGGTGTGTCACAGACGTATTTTATGAAAAATCCTTTCCTTAGGATTTTTTTCTCCTGAGAGGCCTCAGAAACAAAATATAAACAATAATTATCTGCTGCTGTAAAATGCAACAAGTAGATCTGTGATTGGTCTCATGTGGTTGTTTCTAATTAATGGCCAATCACAGCCCACGTGTCCAAACTGTCTCGGTCGGTCACAAGCCTTTGTTATCATTCCTTTTCTATTCTTAGCTAACCTTCTAATAAAATCCTCTCTTCTATTCTTTTAGTATAACTTTAATATAATATATATCATTAAATGATAAATCACACCTTCTGAAACATGGAGTCAACATTCTCTGCTCTTCCCTCATCCTAAAGCCCCTGTGAACACCACAATGGTGCTTGGCTGGGAGTGCTCCCTGCACTGGTTTCCAAGGGGATGATCCCAACAAGACTTTTCCAGGGCCTGTCTTATCATGGAGTTAGAGAAGAATCCACACAAGGAAGAAAGTCCTTATTTCCCATTCCCTGAGCTTTCCTGCCTGTTTTGTGACCGTGTTCACAAGGGTCCAAGGATGAGGGAAAAGACGAGAATCTGACTCCGTGTTTCAGAAGGCTTGATTTATTATTTTATTATATAGATTATACTAAAACTATACTAAAAGAATAGAAGAAAGGATTTCATCAGAAGGCTAGCTAAGAATAGAAAAAGAAAGAATGATAACAAAGGCTTGTGTCTCAGACAGAGTCTGAGCCAGCTGGGCTATGATTGGCCATTAATTAAAAACAACCACATGAGACCAATCACAGATGCACCTGTTGCATTCCACAGCAGCAGATAACCATTGTTCACATTTTGTTCCTGAGGCGTCTCAGCTTCTCAGGAGGAAAAATGCTAAGGAAAGGATTTTTCAGACAATACCATGGCTGCACCGTTTCCCTGACTGATGGCTGTGTGTGCTCTCGCTGTTGCCAGCAGTAGACAGCGGTGGCACGGTGGTCCTGGTGAGCCAGGATGGCATCCAGAGGCCACCTCTGCGCTTCCCCCGTGGAGGACACCTGCTGCAGTTCCTGTCCTGCCTGGAGAACGGCCTCCTGCCCCACGGGCAGCTGGACCCACCCCTCTGGTCACAGCGGGGAAAGGTGGGTGTCTCTCCCTGCTGGGGTTCCCTCTGCCTGGCATTACTGGCTGCTGTGTTTTAAATGATGCCCTCCCCAAATTAATAAATTCAATTAATTAATACTAAATGTGGTGGTTGGGTTTAGCTCATGCCAAGCTAAACAGACCCTTCTGGAAAGCTGTGGGAGGGTTGTCCATGAGGGTTTGGCTCTCTGGGCTGTACTCTACCCTTATGGATTCACCTGCCACTGGAAACTTGATCCAGAGGCTGCTCCAGCCCAGGGAATGTGCAGATATAGCAAAGCAGGTGGGGCAGGAGCTCGGGAAGGGAGTGGCTGGTGAAGGGCAGGTTCTGCTCCCTAGGGAAAGGTGTTCCCCAAACTGAAGAAGAGAAGCCCCCAGGGCTCCTCCGAGTCTGCATCCGACAAGGAGGATGATGAAGCCACGGATTATGTCTTCAGGATCATCTACCCTGGGACTCAGACAGAGTTTGGTGAGTGCAGGGCAGCCTTTGGAGGGGCTGGAGGAGCTGGGACACGGCACTGGTGGGCACAGGGCAAACTGGGAGGTGGTTCCAGGGCAGGGGCTCTGCTTGTGTCGGTGCTGCCTGATTTAAATATCATCATTTAAATCATTTAAATCAGGCACCCTGGGAGGGTGGGAGACCCTGGCACAGAGAGCAGCCAGATGTGGCTGCCCCATCTCTGGAAGGGTCCAAAGCCAGGCTGGACACGGCTTGGAGCAACCTGGGATCATGGAAGGTGTCCCTACCCATGGCAAGGGGTAGAACTAAATAATCTTTAAATTGCTTTCCAACCCAGTCATTCCATGATTCTATCTTTTGTTTTTGTGTTGGTTTTTTGGGGATTTTTTGGGGTTTTTTTTGGGTTCTTTTTTTGTTTTGTTTCTTTTTGTTTTGTGTTTGTTTTTTTGTTTTTTTTTTGTTGTAACTTCCACTCGCTACTGAGTCCTTTGTTTCTTACCTGCACAACAGCATTAACAGTCAGCAAAAACCCCCTCTTAATAACACCCACATAATATCAGTAAAAAGGTTCACTTTGGTCACTTGGGGGCCACCTTCTGCCATCACAAGCCCCCAGGGCTGATTCTTCTCTTGCTGCCCCCGGGCTGCACTAAATCCAGTGGTGTTCCCTCAGTGTGGCTCCTGCAGCACAGAGGGGAGGTCCCAGCACCCTGCTCTGCCTTCAGGCCCTAACTCGAGGGAGGGGATGCTGCTGGATTATCCAAAGCAGAAATCCTTCTTCATGCCTGGTGGTGAATGATCTGAACCTGGCTGAAATGTCTGTACATGTTTCCTCACTCTTCTGTGAGATGCCAAGGTGCCTTCTGTCATCATAGGTGACTTTAGAAGTGGGAGAGAATGAGTTTTATATGGAAGACTTGTGGAGTGTGCTTTTGAAAAGCTCTGAAATGGGATGGAAACCTTTTTCCTACATTTTGGAGGCTATGAGGGAGAAATTACATCCGCTGTGACTCCTCCATAACGTCAGTTGAGATTATACTTGGTTGTCCCTGCCTTCAGCTGACTAACACACTTCAGTGAGTCAGATAAAAACCTGATTGGGGCTAAAACAGCAGATAGATATGTGCCTTTCTGTGGCTGCCTTTTGATGCACCCCTTAAAATTCCATGCTGGGGGCCACATTTTCTGGGAAATGAATTTGCTGCCACCTCCTCAGCTGGCATCATCACAGCCTGTGCTGTTCCTGTGCGCCTCCTCAGCCAGGGGTGGAACTGCATCATCCTCTCTTCTCCGCAGATTCTCCCTTTCTCCCCTTTCACTGGTGCCTTTGTCCTCTCTCTGTGTCTCTAGTTGCCATTAATGGTGCTTTTCACCCACTCCTTGCACCTGTGACTGCTGGGAGAGGGAAGATCATGAAGATTCCAGCTGGAAGCAGGATGGTGGTGATCCCCAAATGGTGTCTGAGTGTCCCTGGCAGATCCCGAGCTCTCCGTGCTGCTCTGGGCACCTCCTGGCATCAGTGTAATGAGCTCTTGGTTGGGTCTGGTGCTCAGCTCACCTGTGTTGTCACTTGGGAGCTCCTGCAGAGCTGTCCCTGTCACCACTGGCTGTCACTGACCCATCAGCTCAGTGGGAGGGGAATTATTCTGTGGGAATAATTCAGTATTTTTCCTGCCAATGTCATTTGTTCCTTATCACAAGCAGGGAGAGCCAGTGAGACCAAGGGATAGCGAGGACCCGGAAAATGAAATTTCTACCACAATTTAATTTCCAAGGAGGAGTAAAAAGGATTATTCCTCATGGCCTGGACTGTGTGTGGGTGGTACCTGAGCAGGACCCGAGGCCTTTGCAGCAGCACTTTGAGTTTAAGCAGGGATTAACAAGTGACAACATGCAAAGCTCCTGCTGTGCCTCTCAACCTCTTCATCCAAGTCTTCGTCTTCTCTCTTGTGATTTAGGTGCTCCCTTCTTTCCCTGAACTTTGGATGGGATGGGCCTTTTTCCTTCCAGTAATCCACTCTTCCTGGGACAGCAGCTGATTTCAATCCTGTTTTTCTCTCTGGAGCCTCTGCGCTGGGTGTTGGGTTTCTGCCTTGGTCAGCACGAAGCAGTTTAAGATCAGCTTTCTGAATTAGCTGGTTAATTAGCAATGGTTTTCTCTCATCAGTGCTCTTTGTTCCTTTCTCCTGAGCTCACCAGTGCTGTGATTCCCTGTGGTGGCTCCTGCTTGGTTGTTGGAGCCTCCTTGGCAAGAGCGCGATGCTGCGTTTGCCAATGAAAGCTCTCTCTGTAGCTCCCTGACTGCAGGGCAGTGCCAGGCTGTAGCTGACACTCCTCTCTGCCCTCCTGCAGTGCCCCAGGACCTGATGGACGCTCCGGGGGCTGTCCTGCCCCCCATGTGGCAGCCCAGCACCCGCAAATCCTCCTGCTCCTCCTGCTCCCAGAGCGGCTCCTCCGACGGGGGCCCGGCCAACGGCTGCAGCCACGAGAGGTACGAGGGCACAGGGGCACAGCAGAGCCAGGGCTCGGGTTCAGCACCATGGCAGGGCCACTGGGATGTGGCTGAGCCTTGTCCCTGCATCTGGGACACCTCAGCTGTTCCACAGCCTGGCAGCAGGAATTGCTGCTCTGAACCCGGGCAGCGTCCCTGGTGAATCCCTGCAGGCAAAGCTGGATCACTGGGATCAAAGCCAGGCTGAGGGGATGCACAGGAGCATCTTCTGCCCTCACATCCTGGGTGTTTCTGTTGGCAGAGCTCCACTGAAGCTGCTGTGTGACAACATGAAGTACCAGATCCTGTCCCGGGCTTTCTATGGATGTGAGTAGTTGTCACCCCCCTGCTGCTGCCTTGGGATGTGTGACAGGATAAGGGATGGGGTCCTGGGCTGGCAGTGGTGCTGGGGGAGCTGGCAGTGGCTGGGATGTGTGACAGGATAAGGGATGAGGTCCTGGCTGCTGCCTTGGGATATGTGACAGGATAAGAGATGGGGTCCTGGGCTGGCAATGGTGCTGGGGGAGCTGGGACCAGCCTGCTGCAGGTGTTCAGGGTGGGGAGCAAACAGCTGGGCTCTGACTCTCAGCCTTGAGCCCCGTGAGAAGCAGCACTAGGGGTACAAGATGGAGACCTGTCCTGGGAGAATCCCTGCTCTGAAAGCTGGATGTGGCTGGGTAAAGATGTCCTTGCTTTCTCCTGCTCTTCATCCTTGTGTTTCCTGGAGCTGCACAGCTGAAGTGTGGTGTTCCTGCTGCAGGGCTGGCCTACTGCAGACACCTGTCCACAGTGAGGACTCACCTGTCAGCGCTGGTGAACCACAACATCGTGTCCCCCGATGTCCCCTGCAGCGCCAGCGCGGGGCTCACCGTGGACATCTGGCACAGATACCTGCAGGACAGCTCGGTAGGGCCATGCCCTGGGGACACAGGGCAGTGCCACTGGAGTGGGTGTAGCATGGGGAGGTGGGGGAACACGTCAAGGAGTTCCTCAAGGAGGGAAGTCAGCCAGGCTGTCCCATGCACAGAGCCTGAGGCTCCTAATCCTTGGCATGTCAGAGTGAGGAGTGAGCACTGCTCTTCTTCAGGTGCTTCTGCTCAGAGCCTGCCTGCAGCAGTGTCTGTCACACAGGTGCTGCTGTCCTGAGTGGGGTCCTGATGTGCTGCCAGCTCACGGAACAGCAGTGGTGCTTTGGTGACTTTGTGGGCCACTCCTTGGTGTGGAGAGACAAAATGTCCACCCACAGCCTCTGGCTCTGCTTAAGTGCAGGCAGGGGTTGGAGGGATCATGGGCAGTGAGGCTGGGGGCTCTCTAAAACAGAGACAAGAAAGAGTTAAAGAATAAAGTAGGTATTTATCAGAAGGCCTCAATGGATAGACTTGGGCAGCACAAGAGCCCAGCCAGGGCTGCACCCAAGATGAACCAAAATGGTCACAAAATGCACAACTAGTCACGGGATCTCTCACTTTTATAAATTCTGCTCCATTTGCATATTTGACTTCATTGTCCAATTGCAACTTTAGCCCATGCAGTCCCATCCCGCTTCTCTCTCTTCAGCCCACGTTGGTTGTGCTCTTGGGCCTGAGATTTGGATCATTTGTCCTTGGTCCCCAGCTAGAGCAGGAATTGTTTTGTCTCCCTACTCTGTAAAAAGAGCTCACCATCCCCTAATGTGAAGCTCAGAACTGCACACCAAAGCAGCACAGAACCTGAAAAACACAAAAGCTACAACCTGAGGCATCCCTTGTGGTGCTGATGGGTGGGGACACCTGTACATCCTGGCTGTGTCTGTGCCCTGACCCAGGCTCTTCCCACAGAGTTACGAGGACCAGGAGCTGCTGCGGCTGATCTACTACGGCGGGATCCAGCACGAGATCAGAAAGGCTGTGTGGCCCTTCCTGCTGGGCCATTACCAGTTTGGGATGACAGAGGCAGAGAGGAAGGAGGTTGGTGAGGCTGTGCTTGCAGCTCAGTGTGCTCACTGGTCCTGCCTAGGGGAGGGGTCTGTGAGCAGAGATCTGTTAGCTCCATGGAACATGGTTTGAAGTAGGGGTGGGGAGGAAGAGCGTGTTGCTGGCACTAAGGGGCTGTGAAGCATGGCATTGGGCTTCCTGGCTCTGTTTTCCAGCATGGAAGAAGGCTTAGCACACCCCTGTGAGCCCACTGGGCCTCGTGTCCATCTGGACTGGGCTTTAGGTAGGAGTGGGACAAACCCTTGCATCAGCAGGAATCAATAGGGCCAAGCTTGTCACTGACATGTGAAACTGGTCATGTTAAGTGCCTTGTGCACCTTGGGAGGGCAGGGAGGAGATGGGTGGGCGTTCTTCCATCCAAATTTCACCACATTTTGTGCAGGGTAAGGGTGGCTGTGTCCCACGAGTTCACACAAATGTGCACCGCCCTGCGTGGGGCACAGTTGGGGCTGGTTTGGGGCTCTCCAGGCACAGCCATTGCACAGTTTGGGCTGGTTTGGGGTTCTCCAGGCACAGCTATAGCACAGTTGGGGCTGGTTTGGGGCTCTCCAGGCACAGCCATTGCACAGTTGGGGCTGGTTTGGGGCTCTCCAGGGACAGC